TAAATTTTGTGCACACATGCCCTGTTGGGAAATGGAACCAAAACTGGGTGATTTGCTCACTTGCTCTCTCCTTTTTCATTTTCTCCTCTTGCTTTTTGCAGCCTGCTAATAAGAAAGCAACATATGTATTCTTAGAGTTCAGTTTTACCTAAATTTTTAAATAGGTCACACGTGTAGCTACTTTTCTGCTGCCTCTTCATTGCATTATTCAAGTTTGAAACCACATACATGGATTTTTTTAATTTGAGCAGATAGATGCTCCACGGAAAGTTTCTGAGAGTTGAGTTTTGGCTGAATTTTTCAATAAGTCACGTATAGCTAATTTTCTTGCTGCCTCTTCTTTGCAAACAAGCCATGGCCTACCATTCTTTGGCTACAAAGTCGACCTATAAGACTAATTTGTATAAATTCATCAATTATTACAACTTTTGTTATTAATTAAGTTTCCTTATTACTCAGTAAATTAGTGAAATGTTTATGTCTAAATATGAATTATAAATTTTGTAATATGAATAGGGTCCTTCTGAAGTTGGAATTGGGAATTTTGAAAACGTTCGACCTTTAGACACTTTTTTGAAGCCTAGAAATTCCACATCGTTGAGAATAGATGATCTTCTATTTGTGATAAGAATGAAATTCTTTATATTATCCATAGTTATCATATCTTGGTTTTTTTTAATCGTTTTTCTAATTTTTTTTTTTTTTAATATTTTGAATGGGATAATCCTATTAGGACTACATATAGTTTTGTGGAGTAAGATAATAAAAATCTGCTCTTATGTTGAGGCTGCAAATGATTTAACTACATTGTTGATACAAATTTTTAGTTAGATGACAGCCTCCAAAATAGTCCTCTTTATGTGGTGGCAGAGTCTTATGGAAGAAAATATGCTGTCACTCTTGAATTATCAGCATTGAAGGCAATACAGGCAGGAAAATTAAAGCTCAAGTTTGTAGGTAATCATTATTTTTTTCTCATTTTTTAATAATGGTTAGCAAAAGTACTTCCCTTATTTTTACAATTTCAACTGTCTCACTAAATGTTTCTTTCTTCCCAGTCAAGCAGTACCACA